AATAAGGGATCGGCCAAGGCCGAAAATGAAAAGGAGAAAAAAGGGATTGCAGAGCCAATTTCCAGCTTGTCGGCGTATATGCCGATGTCAAAGGCCCCACCGGCCGCCTTATTAGATGGCCTGGGATCTGGCGCAGGCGAAATTCCGCTCGGTGCGACCCCCGGCGATGTTGCGCAGGCAACGGACAAAGGGGGACAGGGGCTGGAGCCGGAGCTGCAGCTGGGACTGGCTGGTGTTGGTGCTGGTGCTGGTGCTGGCGCTGCTGCTGCAGCTGCTGCTCCACCGTCACCGTCGACCAGAGCGTCGACGCAAGACCTCGTCGACGCAGCAAACGCCGCCGCCGCCGCTCACACAACGGTGGCCACGCCCGCGATGGAGCTCGAGCTGCAGACGGACCCGTTGCCGCTGCCGGCAGCACACGAGGCAATTCCTGCAGCAGCCACGGCTAGCGACGCCGCGGCACCTCCCGACCAGCCCAGCGATGCCGACGAGGCCCAGAAGACCCAGCAGCAGCAGCAGCAGCAGCCCAGCAGGGAGCAAGATGAGCGCGCCAGTCGTCCGGGAGCACTTCCACGGCCGATCGCGAGCAGCAGCGGCGATGACGATGCCCTCGTCGTCCAGGAGGCTGCCGCTGCTGGTCCCCTCCTCCCCTCTCCCGCTGCTCCCACAGCTCATCTTCCGGCTGCCGCCGCTTCTGCTGCTGCTGCTGCTGCTGCTGCTCCTCCTCCTCCTCTTCAGGGCCGCGACGCAGCGGCGCACAGGCACGACCAGCCAATGGTGGCCACCAAATCTCCGCTCACCCCTGTCTTCCCCAGCGCTCCCATTGCCAATGGGCCGCTAGGCGCCAGAGCTCCACCAGCACACACCGTTCGAACAGTCTCTAATCCTGTCCGTGGCAACTTCATCGCTCCGACAGATGTAACTCAGTCCACGGCGCGCTCTCTGAGTTCCGGCGCAGCTTTCTTACACAAGGTCACGCAGCAGCAGTCGGCCAGCCTCGCCACCATGAAGCCCAACGTTGGGTCGAGCATTTCGCAGCGCATCAAGGCGCTGGAGAAGCTCTCGGCCACGTCGGGCGACCAGTCCCGGCCCGTCAGTCGCGAGCGGCCGTCGTCGACCTTCTTCGCCGTGCAGAAACGGGACACGTCGAGGGCGCCGTCCGTCGTCGACAGGACCAGGTCACTGCACGGCCGAGCCGCGTCGCCCACGCCCTCGTACCAGGACGATGCGCTCGAGGGCAGAGTGCGGCTGCAGAGGTCCGGCTCCGTCGTCAGTCGGGTGTCCATGTTTGAGCCGCTGGCCGCAGTCGCATCCTCAGCCGCATCTGCCTCGAGCCCGCCGCCGGGCCTGGCGCCCGGCACGCAGTCGCGAGGCCGGCCAGAGTCCATCGCCATCACCACCAAATTCGCTGGCTACGAGCTGCCGCCCAAGGACGCCTCCTCAGAGTACGGCGGCTACCAGTCACCCCTCACGGCTGCTGACTACCTCCGAGGCGATGAGGGCTCTGAACGGAGGCCCAGGTCCCTCGAGCGCCGCGGCGAGGACGACATGGGTAGGCGATCCTCGCTGAATGTGGTCAAGG